GCAAAGGGCATCTGAGCTAATGCATTATACCGGGCAAAGGGCATCTGAGCTAATGCATTATACCGGGCAAAGGGCATCTGAGCTAATGCATTATACCGGGCAAAGGGCATCTGAGCTAATGCATTATACCGGGCAAAGGGCATCTGGGCTAATGCATTATACCGGGCAAAGGGCATCTGAGCTAATGCATTATACCGGGCAAAGGGCATCTGGGCTAATGCATTATACTGGTCTTCGCTGTGGCTTTTTTAATGATCTATAGGTGATGGATGATGAACAGAAAAATCAGTCAGTAAGGTGCAGTTTGTATCAGGCATCATTCAGCACATCAAACACTCTTATTTTATGTTTGCCCTTGGTTAGACCAGTTGAGCCTCATGCTTGGGTAATGTGGCTACAGCAATAGGTTATTGAAAATAAATTACTCCAATCAATGCTGTCATGGTCTGAATCTGTCCTATTCACAGAGTATGCAATGATGGTGATTACACACATTAGAATGTCATCTATTTCACTATTAAAATATGACAAGATCTGTGTGTATTGTTTTTTGCAGTTGGCATCCAGTTGATAATAATCCTGTAAGCAGTATAGGCTCAATAGTGACACCCAGTGCAAAACATACAATGTTACAAAAACACACAGTACTGTATAACCTATTGTAGCACATGCTGCATTACACATTGGAGATGGCTTTGTTGACTTTCCTATATATATTTAAAAATATTTCAGTGAGTCAATGATACCAATGAAGCACCCATCTTCCAAACATGTATCCAGTACAGACTGAAACTTGCGTCAGACAGCACAGGAAGCAGGGATGGGACGTCAGGCCATTGCTGCATGCACCTTCATACAGATTTATCGGTGTCGTTAGACCAACAACAACACAAATTTATTTTTGTATAGCACGTTATCACAACATTACATCGTCTCAAAGCGCTTTACAGCATCCCCACCCAAAGCCCCCAGTGAGTAAGCCATAGGCGACAGTGGCAAGGAAAAACTCCCCAGAAGGAAGAAACCTTGGGAGGGACCAGACTCAAAGGGGGGGCCCATCCTCCAGGGGCCGGCAGGGAGAGTCAAATCGGAGAGATAGCTAAGTGCCGAGTTATAGTGTCCAAACAATAAAATTTGAGACACAACCGGGGAGCAGGGGGGAGATGACAAGCCGGTGCCGACGCTCCCTCCAATCGCCAGCCAACCAGAAGGCAGGCAGCGGGTCATACATGGAAGATGACACAGGCAGAACGGTGAGCTGGATGCAGGGACGTCATTGGTAGTGGCGACGTCACATGTTGCAGGGTGTGCTGGACATCTTGATAGTTTGAGGTCTCCAGGCAGCACCCCCCAGGAGGAGTAGGGGAAATAAAATATGTCAAAGTAGGGGAGACTATAGGCAGTGCTAACTGTTAGGTGAGTGCAATATGAAGTGCAATGTGCAAGCTCGGGCAGATATGGCTATGGCAGCATAAGTTAATATGCTGTATTAATTGTAAGTATGGCATCCACAAGGGATTGTGAAGCTAGATTGACAGCACTGTCAGCTCAGTTTATCCAAAGCCAATGGCACCGATCCCCACCCAGCTCTACACCTCACACTATAGGTTTAACTGGGAGTGAGAAGCTAGCTAGAGCTAGAACTAGTGTCCCTATAAGCTAAACTAAACAGGTGTGTTTTTAGTCTAGACTTGAATATTGAGAGTGAGCCTGAAACCCGCACATCTGATGGAAGACCGTTCCACAGCTGAGGAGCTCTATAGGAGAAAGCTCTGCAGCCTGCCGTAGCTCTTTCTACCCAGTGTTTCCCAATCCAGTCCTTGGGGACCCACAGACAGTCCACATTTTTAGTCCCTCCAAGGGAGCTGGGAGGGAGCAAAAACATGCACCGTCTGGGAGGGAGCAAAAATATGTTCTGCCTGGCAGAGAACTGAGTGGGAGCAAAAACATGGACCTACTGTGGGTCCCAAGGGATCGAAATGGGAAACTGCTTTAGACCACAGAAGGAAATCCATGCAAAATATAAGCAACATGCAAACATGACACACATACTGTGGCCAGTGGGGTCCCAACCCTCACGCTGGGTGGAAGGAGGCAGCAGTGCTAATAAAAATGTCCTACAATTAATTTATGTCTCCAAAATAAGCTTTAATGTCCATTAAATCAATTCTTTGTACAACTGTTAAACTGATGGCTGACCTAACTATTATTTTGTGAAATGTCCACTAATTAAAACAGTTTAGAAGGATCTGGATCCACATTTTTTCTTGGTTGTTAAAATCACGACCCAATTTTTTTAAATTTTGAACCAAATTTCCAAACAAAAAGGTACCAGTAATAGTACATATGACTTAAAAAAGTCCAACATTAGAAAAAAACTTTATTTTTTTAACCACACACTCTGTGACCCAATGAAAATGGTGCCATGGACCCACGTCAAACTGGGGCAGACAGTTTGTGGAGGTGACGCCCGGCATCCTGGCATGGTCGATGCTGCAAGCTGCCGCAGACTACAAGATCCCCTCCTGCAGACTACAAGATCCCCTCCTTTGGTGCAGTCATCACAAGACGCTTGGCTGTGTTCACCGTGCACCGTAGCCGGAAGATAAACTGCTGGATGATGGCAACATATTCTGCAGATATAAGCCCCACTTGCTGATTTGATTCTCAATATAGAGGAGAATGTGTCTCCTTCAGATGTTCTGCATTAACTACATAGCTGATGTAGGATTTCACCTTGGAGCACGCAGACTGTGGAGCAATTAAACAAAACATGCAAGTTGGCACAGACATGCAAAATTACTTTTTTAGGCATAGTTGTTGGACGGCACCTGTTGAAGAACAAATATCGGAGTAGATTTCTGATGCCACATTTTGAGGTAATCCCTGACATTTTTCGTTATGATTTTCTCCTAAGTAATGTGTTCCTTCATCCCTTTTGTAGATGCAGTCTGTCATCCATGACTGGAAAAGCTGAACATAATTTTGAAGCACTAAGATTTAGACATGCTGTTGTATCGATCCACCTATCTCCTTCCATATGCGTTCCATATGCGCTTTTTCAGCACAGGGGCACACTGGGCCTGGAGTCTCTCAGAGGAAGCACAGAGCACAAGGCTTAGAACAGGGTTTCCCAGTCCAGTCCTTGGGGACCCACAGCTGGTCCACGTTTTTGCTCCCTCCCAGCTCCCGGTAGAGCAGAAATGGAGACTGTCTGGGGTCCCTGAAGACCAGGTTAGGAAAAACACTGACTTAGAACACCATGGAAGGAATGGTGGTCCGTCACAGGGCACAGTGACACAAAATGGGCAATTTAGAGATACCTAGCCACATGATTTTGAAATGTGGAAAGAATGCAAGAGAAAAAACAGGGAAAACACCCTGTACCCGAGACACAGACCACGGTGGTGGGAATCAAACCTGCTGCCCTGGGTGTGTGAAGCTGCAGTGCCCCCCCCCCCCAGCCCTGTTTCACATCATTCCAGATTTAACTGTGAATTCTAAGGCTACTAAAATATATCATACTAAATGTCACCTGGGAGGTACACTATGTAAGCAAAGTACAGCCTTTCAGCAGAGGGGTCAAAATATTTGACTAAAATACATTTCTTGGAGTTACTCCATACATATTAACGAAGGAAAATATAATGTTGCTATGTTATGTAGTGCAGTGTTTGTAATGCCTGACATAAAGGAACTAGATAACAACATATCAAAAAAGTGACACCAAACGTTTGTCTTGTTTGTTAAAAGTGTCGGCCCCGTATTCAAGTGATGCATGACAACAGTAACCACAATCCAAATTATTCATACTTAACATGCATGGGTGTCATTTTAAATGAAAAAGTTTCTTAGTTTTACATGGGCAAGAAATATTTAGACATGTTCATAAAATAAATGTTGTTACTCAAGATTCTCGTCTGACACAGGATTATGTAAATTCTTAAGGAAGTATTAGTAGAATCAGTGCAGATCTACATAAGAGCTCCCTTGCTGTATAACTGCAATTTTATCTGAGAAAGTTATTGCCGAAATCCAACATAAACTTGAAAACATTTTTCCAGAAACACATGACAACACATGTATAGCCATTGGACTCATGAAACAATTTATATTCAAGCATTAAAATGTGCCCATTTTTAAAATAATTCTTAAGGGCTTATCTAGTGGTTTGTCATGGGAGAAAAGTGGCCAAGACAGGATACAATACTAAACTGCAACAATTTCATACAAAACACTTTAATATACAACTGTTTAAAACAATGGAATTTAAAACAATAGTGAACAACTTAAAAGCAAAAGGAACAAAGAATGAGATGTTCTTAAATACTCCAAGTTGGCTCAAGTCAACTTATCTTCATCCCTCAGAAGAAAAATGGTAAAACATGCCACATTCTTTGAAATTTTACATTTTAATATACATACCTTTCCAGCATAATTTAAAATATTACAATTTCTACAAACAAGTGTACAATTATCTATGAATCCATATGAATCCCTGAACCAGTTGAAATGGTCAAGAACAACTTTAAGCAACACAACAGGTTTTGGATAAGAGATTAAGCAGGTTAAAATGCTAATTTGTATTAGCTGCATTCAGATATGCTGGTCCCATATTCTCAAATTTGGCTGGATTTCTGCTGTAAAACACATATAAAAGTAATAAATGGCGTTACAATGGTTTGGCGTCAGAATTGTCAAAGATTTAAATGGCAACACATATCAATGTGGGGGGGGCATGGGGGTTAGCTACAAGGTTCTCTTTTATGTATACCAATGCTCTTGTACAGAAATTTATGGTTTTGTGCCGGTAAGAAATATTTACTCAAATATATACTCAACATAGCTGCTGGTAGAGATAAAACAGGTGCATCCATTGATGGGTGCTCTTCTCTTGATTCCTTTGGTCAGTGTTTGTTGTTACTGTCCTCTTGAGAAACACTGGAGATGCCATTCTGGTTTTGAGAAGATCCAGACCCCAAGCCGTACAACCGGCCACAGTACTTTGCATCGTCAATGTTGTCTTCAAAGAACAACTGAGGGAGAAAAAAAGTTATCATTGTGATTAGACTGAGCCTTGCTTTGAATAGCTCATTACTTGTGTAGATTAAAACATTAGCCCGTTAAAATTTCAAAATGTACCACAACAGCGATGGTAATGAACAATTCCTGCATGGACCTTCATGTCCAACACTCGTATAGCCAAATCAGCTAATAATATGCTCTTTTCAGCCCGCAATCACTGGTAGTATAAAAACTAATATTTGAAATGGCAATGCCAATTACTTTTTAAATACCTCTTTCATGCGGAAGAAGGCCATCCCAGTCAGTAAGGAGTCAGAGCCAGCTTGGTGCTGCCGCCCAATTCTCTTCAGTTCCAGCTGGTCAGCGACCTCCTGAAGGCCACCCTGAATATCAAGTTGGTAAATAATAGTTTGATTACATCATCTGTAAACACCGTATTAAGCATTTCTCCCTTACGTGTCATTTTCACATTTCCAGCTGCGTTCAGCTTTTGAAAAGCACCTAATGCTGTCATTTCGATCAGGTGTTAATCTTTCTATATGAATAATGAAACAACTCTACTAGGCAACTCCAACACAAAGGAAGATCAACTAACCTTAAGATTCTTGCAGCTTTTCATTAAATATTTCACATCATAAATCGCTGGAAAAAACAGGTTGAGTATCTGGAAGAATTCGTGCTCCTCCTCCGGAAGTCGAGCATCGGTGAGGAGTTTCACCAGGTAACCAAAATCATAGCCACTGCAAATTCAAATCCCACGCGTTAGTGTCCCAAAAACACTTTCAAAGGACGGTGTATGACTTAGGTTTCAAAATGAGTATCACTCCGCTTGCTACCTGTGGAAAGACAGCCACTTCACATTTTCACACAACACCAAGCCAGATGTCATTAGTAGCTCTGCAAAGTACAGAGTATCAATTCCTTCTTCCTCATGCTTTTTGAACTGAAGTCCAGAGTTCTGGAGTAAATCAATTGAGTCCTGGGAATACATATCCTCTCTGAAAGACAGGACAGTCATTAAAAGCATGTGGGTGTGTATACATATTACTCACATACATTTCACTTTGCACTCCTTTCCCCAGTAGCAGAATGTACATACGTTAGATTGAATTTGAAGTTGAACTGCCATGTCGTCGTCCCAGGCGGATAATCTCCGTCCTCATTCATAAAGGTCAGCCCCAGCTGGATTATTTTCAGAAGGTCCACATTGCAACGCAAAAGCTGGTACTGGTAATCAACAGTACTGCGAAATTCCCCGATAGGCCTAACCACCACTCCTGGGAACTCTGTATCCTGAAATCACACGATTCAAGCAGCCCAATGAAGGGCAAAAGCTGCAGGTTAGGTTGTTATTGGTAGAATAACATTTCACGTCAAAAAAACAGCAAAACAATCTAAACATTTGAGCTTATTGAAGATCAGGGTTACCATGGCAATGTAGTTGTAACTTTGAATAATCTGTCGGATCTTCCTCATTTCTTCCTCCACATTGCTCGCCCAGACCTCGCAGATAATTTGACTGGTATCTGCAAGTGCGGCTGGCATTTTGCACAAAAGAGTTAACGACTGAAAATCTTCAAGAACTTCTTCGGCAGTCTGTCATAAAGAGAAAATAGGGTCTTACGTTAAAGTAAATCAAATCTGGTAAATCAAAAGTAACCAGCTCAACGCGTATTTTCAGCGACATAGCTCAACTCAATCGCTACGGCAGATAGAAACCACTAAGTAAAAGATAAACAAATGCCTGACAATGCAGGTGACCAAGTGACCAAGTGACCTACGGCAGCTAAAATCCCATATAGCTCACGCTTGCCTAAATCTATCGGTTGCACGGTTAGACAAAATATATACAAGTAGCATGCAACTAGAAAGCAATGCATAATTAGTTAACAAAACTGGAAACTTAAACGTCCATTAAAAGTTCTTGACCACAATAAAACAGATTTCCTAAAGATAAAGCTTACGTACTTTTATAAGCAACAAACAAAAAGCAGATATCATTAGTGTAACAACAAAACCACATACTTATAAAGCAATTAAGCAGTAGCGTCAATAATTCTGAAATAATAGCTAAAATCTATGCTAAGTCGTAACGACCTTAAAATATATCGAGCAAAACATATCGCTACAAAACCTGATTCCTGTTTAGCAAGCACAGAAAAAATAGGCTTACAAACCGTATTTTTATATGCCTAGAAAGCTGTCTGATAATGATATTTTTCCAAGTTTTTGTTTAAATTTCTCCGCTGTCTACCGGAAGTCGAAAGGATACTTACGCATGCGCTCTGACGCTCAACCCATGAACCCACGACGGCAGCACGTCACACTGCGTCACACGCTCTTCAGCGCACATTTTAGGCAGCTCTTGGGGATATGCTGCGTTAAGTGTACTTATTGTATATGTAACAGGGTTGTGTTTAGTATTTGTATAATTATACAAAAATTCCTTCATAGTTTATCCAGTGTTTAATTCTTGGATTAATCTGATGGGTTAAACTGCATTTCCCACTATGCCGCTTCTCCTATATTTTCCGCTTGCGTCATTTCCCTCTTACCGCTTCCCGCGAACTAAACAGAGGAGTTGTGCTAATAATCTATAGTTAAATAAAGGCATATTGGATACATCGTGGAAGTAATACACGGAATGATTACGAAATGACATGCACTGCTGTAACATCTCTGAGGGACATATTTTGAGGAGTATATTTGAAATCATGTATGCATTATGAATGGAATGCAGTAGATCATAGATCTGGTATTAGGTTTCCTCACAAAGCAACCAAGTTTAACTTTAAATCAAAATCATGTTATGTTTCAGTCAATAATTATAAAATAGTTTTAAAATATTTCATTCCATATTCGCACAGACTCTATGCCATAATAAAGGCAACTGCTGTACTAAAACTAAGGTAACCTTTTAACTGATTTTATGGTTTAAAACATTGCCTGGCGTTTTATATATTGTGCATTGTACCACAGCATATTTTTAATTTTATTTTCAGTGAATAGAGACTGACGGAGAATTTTTTTCTTGCCCTTACATTGGGGAATACATACGGTTTTGGGACCAGTCTGCCGTTGCTAAAGACACTTTCTTGATAGCATGATAACACAAGTATTTGTTGTGTCTTTTTTCAGACTTTGCAGATACATTGTTAGGGGTGAAGATCTGAAACTGAGAATTTATATAACCACATATTAGTACCAGGGAGAAGGGTGACTGCAGAAAACACTTGACTGTTTGAATGTGATAACTCTGATAGTATTTGATGGATTTTATTGCCACATCACAAAAATACCTGATTTCAGTTCTGTTTATTTTTAAATAGCACAACAGAGTCATCCCAAAGTGCATGACATCGGTGTGCAGTAGTGTGTTACTACATCACATATATAGAACAATGTATTCAACCAGGAAAAAAGGAAGAAATAATAAAAGCTAGAAAACAATGGAATAGAGGAACCAAAATCTTACAAGTCAACAAGGTCAACTGGCTAACCTTTAGGTCAGGTGTTGAAACTTGGGTGTGAGGACTCTTCAGCCAAGTTCTTTAAACCTTTTTGAGGACCAAGTACACCCCTCCGTGATAACAGTATTCCCTGATGGCAGTCACCTCTTTAAGCAGGTTATTGTGCCTAGCTACTCTGCAAAAATTGTTCAGAATTGGTTTGACAAACATGATAGAGAGTTCAAGGTATTGACTTGGTCTCCAAATTCTCCAGATCTCAATCCCATCGAGCATCTGTGTGATGTGCTGGACAAACAAGTCCGATCCATGGAGGCCCCACCTTACAAAACTTAAACGATGTGTTGCTAATGTCTTGGTGCCAGATACCAACCAATGAACAAACAAATGAATGAAATTACTACTAGAATTATAAACATAATACTTGTAGACACATTGCACCATTCCTGGGGTGGTGATGTATTGCAGCAAAATAAACTGATAGCATTGAGTAGAACTCTTGAGAATACTCAGACTTGCTTGACCTAAAAATACATGCAGGGCTGATGAAAGGGGCTAAAACCTAAACTGACAAGCAGACAACATTTACAGAAAAGAGTTGAATGGAGCCTTGAGCAGGGAACTGACACAAATGGGTCATGACAGGCAAACAGGCTGCTTTGATGTCTTGTTTGTGTCTCCATACCACTGCTGCACTGGAAAATGTGTCACTGAGATACAGTGACCCAGCTTTCCTAAGACCATGCAACGTGGAAGTTTCCCCCTCAACAAACATATATAACAACAATCAAGCAATTCCTAAGCTAATTTATACCTTAAGTGAGAAATTTAAATTAAGATGCTGTTGGGGACATTTGGCAGAGCAGGTACCTCAAATGGTGACACAGACTGCAGTCGCCAACTTAGCCGTGATAAATAATGGCGTGTAGGCTCCTGGACACAGCCAGAAATATTTTTCTGAAAACTCCGTGGGGGACTTCAGCTGAAAATAGAATTCATGTCAGTCCAATAAAAGGCATTGGAGAAACAGGTAATGAGATGTTGACATCATTGCTGAATGTTTCCTTTCATCCAGCTGTTGTGCTGTGTGCATCATCAAGGACCAAAGCCATCCAGCACAACAGCTGTTCTCCTTGTTGCCATCCGGCAGACGAAACAGGAGTCTGTCTGCTCGGACCACAAGACTAAAAAATAGTTTTTACCATCAAGCCATTCCACACCTCAACTACAACACTTGAACACACACATCACACTTCATTGGATGCAATACACACTGTTCCCATAAAATACAGTCTCAGGTACACCATGCACTTTATCTTCATTTTTATCTTTATTACTATAAAAAAAAAAACAAAAGTATATATAAAATAAAATATTATGTGCAATACTGGCACTTGACTGCCACCTTTAACCATTGACAATTACACTGCTGTCACTTTATTTCATGTGTAAGAACGTCGTCTTACTTTTCTGTAATATATTGCTGAGAGACTTGTTTATTCTCGTCAATCACATTTCATTGCAATGTGGACCCTGTGCTAACTTGCATATGACAAATAAACAAAACTGAACTGAACTGAAAAATGGCTGAGGAAAGTATAAACCTGAGTGGGGGGCAGCTCTGTCAGACTCACTCAGTGAGGTAGCAATAACAAGGAGCATCAGGGTACGGAGGATAGAAGACAGTTGTAGAAAAATACTGGTACACAAACCTAAAAGTGTTGGAAATACCTTGCATTACACCATCACTGTCTTATGCTTTGAACTCTAATATGAATTGATTCATTCATGTCACCACCACAGGTAATTCTTGACGCTATTTAGGGTTTTTCAGACACCCTGTTTTTTTTGTGTCAGCTCCCCTGAAAATGAATTATTCTAAATCCATTTAGCAATTTCATCCAGTATTTCTTGGGGACTGAGCCCCCCCTAAGGGTCAAAACCTAGAATCGCCCCTGAACGCAACAGTTCACTCAACAGTATCCATATCTGAAGGAAATAGGGAAAACATTCACGCCAACACATGTACAAGTAACTTCCACAGCTACCAACTTCCAGTTCGATGTTGAATGTACACCTAATGAATTAATACATGGAAACTTTCTGAAGAGACGTCTTTCTAAAAACAGGGACTACCAAATGAAATCGGACCACAGCTAAGGAACCCTTACCACTGATGTGTGAATGTATTTTGGCTCCCCTCAACATGTCTATCTTTGTGTAAACTAAATGATTACACTGGCATTTCATCAGTTTATGATAGATTTGTGTTCCTGCAGGCGCCCAGAAACTACTCAATGCGTCAGTGTTACTGAAATACGCACACTTGTCTCTCTGGGTGATGTGTGAATAAATCTTAAGTGAACAATGTACATTTTACGTGAAAGGAATATCCTATTTCTGGTCAAATGTGTTAAAATTCGTTAATTTTCCAAATGTTCCAAATCGAAAACTTTCGTGATGCACTTATTAGTCGTTGTTATATTCTGTACATTTCTAATGAATTAACCTAAAATGTGTCTTTAAGTAAAATTATATGTTTAAAATATGTTTTATTATTAAAAGGTTTTTTTTTTCGACGGGTGTGCGAAAAAAGATTGTGTCATTTAACGTGGTAAGATTGCGCTGATAGGCTATAGCAAACAATTATTTATGTAGTTGGAAATCTAAATATATTTTAGTTACTTTCACCTACGACGGTTGTCATACGATGTGTTCATGCCATGTTTTGGCTTAAGAGTCAAAGGCAGTCTGTTCCCCCGAAATTGACACATTTTGGTGCGCTATATATTACTAGCAGACTAGGTCCATACCACATGATTTTTAAAAATCTTCATCTATATCTCCATCCTCATTTTGTGGCTAAAATTATGTATTATAGTTTCAGTTTAACCTAGTGTCATAAGGTAAGTAGAAGCCGGTTTTTAAGTTACTTACAAATAAATAATAACACTTCAATCGAAATAGAAATACACTGTACCAGATATGTCATACATGCATATTGTAACTAGAATTACCTTTATAAAAAATTGGGCTTGGAATACATCCAACCAACAAATTTCCGTTCATCCATTGTGTGAAGTTGAATATATTTCATTTTCTCGTTTCTGAGATCTCAAATGCATGTCATTTAAACAAGCCATAAAAAAGCTCATCGTGAAAAGTCGGAAAGCTTAATTTATCATTATCAAAGGCAATCAAAATCACGATCGCAAATCCAAATTCTCGATACTCATGCTATATGTGTTACGCCGCAATGCATGGACGTGCAAGTATTCACTTTATACTTACAATACTACAATGCGTGTAAGATCCAGGAAGTAAGTGTGCGGATGAAAACCAGCGAACCTATTAAAAGCCACCGTGCGGGCGCAATTGCCCGCCCACTTACAATATTATCCAATCGTGGTTCAAGAGAGAAGCTTCCGGTACAGAAAAGGGACATTTTTCATTGCACGGTTGCGGGAGAGTAGACTAAGAGAACTGAGAAGAAACTATTTGCGTTTGTATTGTGTTTGATACATAGTTACTACGTACTCGTAAGTAGTTTCGTTTTTTCTTTTTTGGACAGTGTCAGTAGCATGTTCTCGGTAATGTGATATTTGGCTTTCGTGGTGCTTCGGCCAAGCAGAAAGGCTGTCTTTTAAGCTTGTACTCTTTGGTTCTGTTACCACACTGTTAGAGATATTAGTTAACTAGCTAGTTGTTATTGACTTTTGATAACATGCGCATCCATTTAGTATAACTAATTAAGCATGTATACCTGCTGAGAAGAGAATCACGCGTAAGATCCACTGTGGGTGGCCGTCTATCACGGTGCGTGTGCGTAGCGTTTCTGATCTTGTTCTAGTTCACTTTAGTCGGTTCTGATATTACCGCTCGCTAGAGAGCTGGCTTGTCGTGACTCTTTCTCGGTAATATCTACCCAATGTTTTGCCATCTGTTTGTTAACCATCTACTAGGAAAACCGCTTGTCGCTGCTGGTTATTTCTGCGATTGAAATGCCGCTGCCCCGTGTCTGCTGAGTGCTCTGGTAACCGCTGGGTATCTGTTCGCGATCCCTTATTCAGCGGTGACGCATTTTATTACCGAAGTCGGCACTTTGTGCCAGACTTTTCTATCCAACTTTAGTCTGGGCGGCTAATACTTTTAAGTTTTACCTTGTAATGAAACCGGCTCATGTCTCTTTAATTAGCCACTTCTGGATTTGGGCGACTTTCAGTGGCTCGAAGTTTTCCCTTGTCGACTCCTGCGACATCGGCTTTCGCCCTTATTTGTTTGACGCGGGTCTAGTTCTTTTTCACTAATGCACTAGTACTTTTTCCGTTTAAACGGTGGGACGAGAAATATATAAATATATATATACGGTGTAGTTAACAGGCAAGTGTGTAGGCTTCGGCATGAACGGCTTTAGCACGGAGGAGGACAGCCACGACGGCCCCCCGGCGCCGCTCTTTCACGGTCAGAGCTGCTGCCTGATCGATGACGGCGAGCGGTGCAGGCAGCCGGCCGGGAATGCCTCTTTCAGCAAGCGCATCCAGAAGAGCATCTCGCAGAAGAAGCTGAAGCTGGACATCGACAAGAGCGTGAGTGCGCTCCCACTGGTAGCCCCTGGATGCCCGGCCTTTCCGGGGGCTTGGCGTGGGTGTCACGCCTGTGCCTCTGCTGGTTCGGACACCGCGTCTGTGATCGGAAGGTCGCTGGCAGATGATGTCGCTGTTCGCCCTTAATCCGGGTTGCTCTAGACACACTCTCCCTGCTCTGTAATACTCACTTGTATGTGGCTTTGGATAAAAGCATGTGACAAATGATAAACACAAATATGAAAATAACTTATGTGTGCGACTTTATTATGAAGTTAAAGACTGTGTAATAGTGTAAAATATGAATACTGTCTTAATTTGATCAAGTAGTTGTTTCTTTTTATACCGTCCATATAATTGTCATTTTTTGATAATTTGATCTGTAAGAATATTACATTGCTTTGGTTTTTGGTTTTTAACAACTTGCTGTTTTCCAGGTCCGACACTTGTACATCTGTGACTTCCACAAGAATTTTATCCAGAGTGTTCGCAACAAACGGAAGAGGAAGACCAGTGACGATGGCGGAGAGTCTCCAGACCAAGATGTAGAAGTTCCAGAGGTTGTTTGTTACTTTGTCCATCTTTTTCTGGTGCTTCATTGAATCTAAAAGTAGCTGTGTAAATCTTCCTTTGGCATTTGATTTTGTCTTGCATTGGTTATTATCCATGATTACTTTGCATTAGACCAATGTTTCTTAAACTGGTCCTCGGGGAGCTGCAGACAGTCCATGTTTTTGCTCCCTCCAGAAGGGAGCAAAAATATCGACTGTCTGCCAGGGAGCTGGGAGGGAGCAAAAATGTGGACCGTCTGAGGGTCCTTTAGGGCCAGGTTGGGAAACACTGAATTTAACATTTAACATGTCTTTCCGCTCCAGGTTGACCTGTTCCAGCTTCAGGTGAACACTCTGAGACGCTATAAGCGGCATTACAAGCTGCAGACCAGACCGGGATTAAACAAAGCACAATTGGCAGAGGTGACTTTGAGACACCAGAACTCTTATAGTTCTACGTTTTATGTTTTATGCAAGGCAATAGCTGTTAAATGTTGCTGTAGAGCTATACACACTCCCTCTCGGGCTATTTTATGGTTTGGTTGAAGTGAAGTTTAAGCTTCACAGATCATGGGTAGCTGTTGCAGGTGCAGCTATGCAGTTACATTGGGCAGGTACCTGTCAATATATCTGGTATAGTTAAAATTATAAATGTCAAGAAGAGTAAACTCTTAAATCGTGCTGTAACTTGAGCTTTGTTTTTTTTTTAATTTCTGAGAAACTTTCCAAATCAGGAGAATTGTAACTAGAGATGCACCGATTGACCGGCTAGTGATCGGAATCGGCCGATTTTTTTGTATGATCGACCCAGATCGGTGACCGGCCGGTCAGGCTCACGTCTGCCGATCCTTTTATTGCCAGCAGCAGCGCAGGCAATTACGTCACAACTACGCGCACACTCAGTCTAGTGATAATATGTCGTTGGTGTGGAAGTTATTTTTTGTGAGTGGAGATGAGACAAAGATCGCAGTTTGTAACGTTTCTTTTATTATAAAAAATTTCATTGGGGAAAAGATTTTTGTTAGTATAACTATACTAATGTTATATACCGGAATTTATTTTATACCTTACAACACACTTTATTTTATATTTTTATTTTGTTGTGAGAAGATCCTGTCATGTTTTAATAATTTATTTTATTATAAAATAAATTTAAATGAATGTCATATGCTTTCATTACAGTTCTTTAAAAAAATCGGAATCGGCAAAAATCGGAATCGGCAGGTCACACTTACTGTAAAATCGGAAATCGGAATCGGCCAAGAAATTTGCAATCGGTGCATCTCTAATTGTAACATCAAAAATGGCATGTCTGTATGTGGGAGAAAATAACTCACTCAAATATCATGCCTTACTTTATATACATTGTATCCAACTTTTATCAATTTTAATGATGAAGCCTCTGTAGACTATACAATATAGACTATTTTACAGCAACTAGTAGCATAGCGATTTGCGATCTTTGTAAAAAAAAAAATTGAGTTTTGAGAGGTAGGAGTAGCGTTTAGTAGAAAATCCCACTAATGAAAGTGCACACAATTGGGAGACAACGTGAACAATATGAAAAAAAACAATGGATAATTCTGAAGTCACTAGCTTGGGCTGTGATGCATTGTGGGGCATTTTAAGCATCCGCAGCTTGCGTATCCTCGCTTGGAAGATATGCAAATTGAACTGAAAATGTCTAAAACGCTTAAAACAAGCTGTACAAAAGGTGGAACAGTATGTTATGTATGTTTCTAGTAGCCCAATTAAAGACTTTTTGGCATACATTTTTTTCTTCTGTATTTACTAGTTAAAAATGTGTAAAATATAAATCTTTTTATTATATTAAAATATTAAAGTAAAAAATCGGAATCTGTATCGTATCAGCAGTTGTGTATCGGAATGGGATCTGAACTGAAATGTGGATCAGCCCCTCCCTGGTTTTGATTATCTTAGTGCAGTCTTATCATTCTTAATTTTATTTTTATGGTACAACTTCTTTGTAACACTATTTCAACATTTACTGACAAGATGAGAAAGCTATCTGTGAAATAAAAAAATAATCTCTAACATGTTTACTTGGGTAATATGGAAAATATTTTTTTCTTTTTTTCCTCCAGACTGTAAGTCGCCACTTCCGGAATATTCCTGTGAATGAGAAGGAAACTCTGACTTATTTCATTTATATGGTGAAGAGCAACAAAAGCCGACTTGACCAGAAGTCAGAAGGCAGTAAACAGCTGGAATAGTGAATAGTGTTGCGTGGGATACATCTCTTACAAATGGGCTTAAGCATTAACAGATATTTTTGTCAGGTAAACACAGCTTGATTTTACACAAGAGAATATTCTTTAGAAATAAGGAAGCTGATAATAGAGGGAAATGGTCGTATATTTGACACCCATCAACTCTTGAGTATATACTTCACAATGTATGTTGTGCCAAAAGCATATAATTATGAAGTTTATATATAAAGTGATAGTATTGTGGACAAAGAAAATATTATTTGATGTCTTGTGACTTCATATTATTTGACCACCCCTTTTCTTATCAATTGCTAACCCTCTTTTACTGAGTGTATCTTAGCAAGTTCATGTTATGGAGAATTTTTTTTTATGCATTAGAAGCATTATCTGTGCTAGGTGTTGGCAAATCCAGTCAAAGTCTCACAGGTTTCAAAATGACCTTCAGTTTACATTGCTAGATGTGAATCCCAAAATTTAGACTGGGTAGCCCCTCTAAAAGCCTGTCCTGCTTTATGAAGAGTGTCCATCCCTAGCCATGATAATGCCTGATTCTTTTGGTTTTCTCTTTTTAAATTTTGTTTAATGTATTAATTGTAGTACATGTAGTAATACATGTGGCACTTGTTTTGTTTGACCTAATGTTAAGTTGGGATCTTGTAGTAACACCTAAGTTGTGTGTCTTATTAAAAAATCCAGATGTGAATGTGGTTAATACTCAGAACGGTCCCAAAGAATCTGAAAGAACCAGATTCAGGACGGATGTTTCTGACCCCTTTTGCCACGATGTGTTTAATTTTTCCCCCATTCCAGTGCAGTTGGATAACTTATTATGTTTAGCTAAATATCCATTTGAGCTGTGATAGGGAAATGTAGCATATTGTAAAGTGTACTGCATGTGCTGTCTTCCACGTAAACTGCTGTTTTAGATGAGATGGGTTATCTGTATTTGTATAAATTTTGCTTTAAATAAATACCCTCAGTGGTGATGTTGCATCATTTTTCTTTCTGAGGCAAGGACAAGCAGGTATGATGGATGGATGGAAACTTTATCAAGGCACATCTGTATGTAATGGTGTTCTTTATATCACTGGCATATCTGTAATAATTAAAGGGGTGAAAATTGAAAACCTGTGTTGAACTACTAGCTCACAAAGTTTGTAGTCACCTTTCCTGAAGTTCTCAAACCAAGTGGTTGTGCAATGTTCTGCAGTTGTGCATTTTCACCACTAGATGGATGTGAAATGATACACTGGTAAGAGTTCCGTCATGACTGGTACTTGGGGGTTTCTAGGACTGAACAGCATGACACATTACAATATTCAGTAGTACCAAATGTTTAAACATAAGGGCAAGTTACCATTTATCCTTGGCACTCTTATACATGTGTGTTATTCTGAATATTTGTACTTAAAATCAAACTCTCATAACATCAGTGTTTCTTACACTGAAAATATGTTGAGATTTTAAAATATTACTGTTTATTATTGAACAATATTATCAGCAAACCTTGAGTTAATGAATTTTTATGCTAATGTTTTGCCACATAAATGAGAGAAATTATTTGTTGTATGTAAACAACTGATGTGAAGTAGTGCTCTGCAGCCTTTTCTGGAAAGGGTGGTTCCCACTATCTGATCTGCTGCCCCCAGCACACTCCACCCAGCCTGCAGACGGGGAGATGAAATTACTCGTCTGCCTGAAAAAGGCTTGATTACAAGCAGGGAAATATCCCACTTTCGATTATGTCTTACCTGTCCTGTGTGAGCACTTTAAAAACAGCATCCATATGGATGATATTTCTGTAGACGCACCTTTTAAAGCATTCCCTGTATACTTAGCTCTAAATCAAAAGACCTACATTCTTGGGATTTGAAACATATGATTGGTAATGGGGGGGGGGGGGGGGGGAATGGTTTATTTAAATGACATTAGTTAGGTATAATTCTTGTATTTTGCTAGGTAGCTTCAAACCTAGACATCTGCATATGCACCTGTCTTAATATTTCTTCACCATATCTTCACCAAGCATCATCCATAGAGTCTTACAGTAAACAGATGATGACAACATACTATAGGTTCATATGTTGCCCCTTTTGGGTTTTGGCAATTTGGCAAGAGAAGCAGAATAGGAAAATGCATGTGCAACCGCATAACAGTTTTTTTTTCATACATCAAAAGCACACCCAGGTATCAATGCAAATGCTTTACTCATTATATGCATTAATAATATCGTATCGGTGTTATCAGAAAAACTGAAACACAATCAATTCAGAATATCAAAAAAAAGGTTATGAAAGTGTAAAAATGTATCTTTGCCAAATATTTACATCCAACAGTACCAATTACTGTTCACTGTGTATTACTGTGTTACTGTTCACTGTGTATTACTGTTACTGTTCACTGTGCATTACTGTGTTACTTTTCACTGTATTTGTTTCTAATTTGCACGCTATAATTAATATTATCACTAATTACATTTATTTATTTATTTATTTATTTATTTATTTATTATTTTTTATTTTTATTTATCTGCAAGAGTTAGTGTCTATAAGTCATCACCCCTAGTATCTTCTGTGGGCTTGTTCAGACGTATGAAGTCATCTTTCTGATTTCTAAATATGTTTTGATTTTGAACGTGTGATTAAGTTGTTATTCAAGAAAAAATATACTGTAGGCCGTCTGACTATATGTGTGTTTTAGTGTATCCTCTAAACTTTGCTATTTATGGAACATGAATTTGCTTTCGGTACAGCTTGTTTAGGTTGGAAAGTAAATTCGAGGAGCGTGCAACAAACATGGCGCTATTGTTGATCCCAAACTTTCTCAGAGTTCGCAGACGCTTTCGGTCAGATTTTCATAGTACTTCCCGGCAAACTTAACTTCAGCCAAGTGTTTGTTTGCTGAAGATTAACTCAGTTATGACACGGACTAGCAATTACAGAATGGCATTCTTCGCTCGCTATGTTTAGCCAGTCTTGGGTATATACATGATTTATGTTTATATAGTCCACATAAAACTATTTTAATTGGCTTGTCGGTGGTTTTTTACCTGTCCACCTCATGCATGGTGTCAAAAATATGACACATGCTGTATAGTATATCGTGTTATATTATAGTAATATTTTTATTTATTAAATTATTATTTGAACTACATTTACAAGGTTAGATACCGTATCGTAAAATCCACGCACATTTTTTGTAACATACGTGCTGCGGACCAGCCAGATACTACAGTTCCTCCGGCTGAACACGTGTTAGATTCGAGTCCTCGTTTCCAAGACAGTCTCTAGGGGCCGCGCCGCGGGGACGAGCGCTGCCCTCGATCGCGTCTGCGTGCTCGCTCCCAGCCGTCGCGTGGTGGTCTTCCATATTGCCGCTGTGGCTCTGGAGAATATTGCTTGGGTTGCTTCGTTAAATTTTATTCTTTAAAGGGGGTGGCTTGTCTTTTCGGTTTATATTTTAATTTAATTCGACCAGTCTGCGTCTTACACTGAAGTGTATTCGGTGTCAGTGTTGTGGAAGAGCGGGGAGAAACTACCTGTGTAGCCAGGAAGAGCACATTTTGTCATAAAGTGGATGATAAATTTCGGGGTAATTAACGTTGCTAAACCAGTAGCCGCTTGGGATGAAAGGGGAAATGGCCACTCAGGTGGAGACGGTCTTACCCAGTACTACTCTTATGAAACGAGAGGAATGCGAACATGCAAGCAAAATGAAGCCTGGGGACAGCTGTCTGGAGATAGGGGCGAAGCAGACGGTGCTGGCAGGCGTGGAGGTAAATGTTAAAGGGGCGAAGTCCGGCCGGGGAGGATCCTCCGCGAGTGAGCAGACCGAAAAACGAGCCAAGGAGGAAAGTAACGTACGGGAGAAGGAAAGCCGTGGTAGCGACCTCTGTCACGCCGAAGATGCAGACGAACGAGCCGATGAAGGCATAAAATGCACCAAAAAGGATTTGGCCGAGGCTCCCCCACCCAAGGCGAACCCCTGGACTAAGAACACGGTGACGGTGGTCAGTGTAAATGGTCACGCAAACCATGGTATGTATCTTCTCTAACTTCTCCCATTTGTCCTCGCTTTCGTCGATTGTTTCTCACTGCACACAGTGTTTGATGAGAGGTGTCAAAGCGGCGTGGCGATATTGCGAACTACCGGCACCCCCATCTAAGTGGCTCGCTAATATAAAAAGACATTGCATTACCGGGTCGCATTACTGATCATCCGGCTTTGGCACAGCGCTAGCAGGAAAGCAGAAGTTTTCTGAGCTTCCGCCAACTGGAACTAAGGTCTGAAATTGTTCTGGTAGTTTAAGATAACATCGAGCTCAACTGATGACTGTGAATTGCGTGCCTTGTCTGAGAGCTGTATGAACAGGGACAGAATGAGTGCGAGCTGGCCTTCCGTCTTGCCGTGACCGGCCGAGGGCTTAGGGGCGGAGTAGGCACTCGGGAACCCATAGTCGGAGCTGTCTCGGTGTTTGCCAGAGGGCCTGCCTCTGTAACCGGGAATATATGGACGAGTGATTCCTTTGGTGCTAATAATGCGAGTGGATCTCTTTCACAAGTCTGTTGTTTTGAGGAATTAATGACGAAATCGATCGACAGTGGTAAGTTTTAGTCATTACCACTGGAAACCTAATATAGCTGCACGTAGTCAGTTAAAGCCAGTCATTGAGCTATCCACACATCTTCTTATGTTTTTTTGATTACATTATTGTTGGTACCACTTTACAATTAGGCTCCATTTTGCCACTTGTAAATTGTAGTAACTCATTAATAAAAAGAAAACTGTTAACTTGTTTAAAATAGTCTATTAATAAAAGTGTTACAACCTAATTAGTAACCAGATTATAAACCATTCATAAACGCTTTATATGCGTAGCCTTTTGTAAAGTGACACCTTATTGTTTTTGATCTAGCATGCTTGAAAATAGAGACTTTGGACTGTCAAAGCAGCAGTATTTCTTAATCGCAGTCGCACACATTGTAGATTAATTGCACAATTAATCGCACAAACAATGATGTTGCAATACGACGTAAAAGAAGATTTTACAGTCCGTGTATTCAGTCTCAGAATAAAGACGCAGCTTCCCGTGAAACGAAGCTAAATTAATGCTTTGATTTTCACTCTAAATTCTGGGATTCTGTGCAACATAATGACTGAAACGCTTGCATTCCTTCCTGGTTGTAAATAACACTATAGGTCTGTCTTAAAAATCTTTGCTCGTACTATTCTCCCATTTGGGCAATCAGAGAAATAAGAATGAAGCGCTAGGGCGGTTTTGGGAAACCTGTTGTCATGCTTGTCGGAGTTAAATCATTTGTGGCTTTAGCTCCGAATGCCCAAGCCCAGTCATGTGCCTGCTCCGTGCCCATGATCAGAAGGTCACTAGTTTAAACCCCGTGGCTGCTGTGATGTCACCCTTGAGCCGAGCCTTTAACCCCTGTTGCCCCAGGGTCATCGGGTGCTTTTCGATCCATTAGGGGGGAGGGAAGTAAATGCAATCTGTCAGTGTTATGGGCCGCACTGCTTTGACATGGGTTTGTTGTACAGGATGTTAAAGGTAAACATCTACAAATAAAAGACATACTGCTGACTTTGCTATTACAGCTCTGTAGGGAACTATACCGGAACAGTCCGGTTCACAGGAATGGGAAACGGTGCCTGGATTTCTGCTTGTTGCTCATGTACATTGGAAGGGGGAAGTTAATGTGTGAAAAGTTGCATCTAACCTTTTGTGTAATATACTTCACCAAAGCCGATATTGTACCTTGGCTCAACAAGTTAGTGTTTAGTTCTTGCTTATTTCTTTGCAGATGTTCACTTCCCTGCACCCTGCATTTACAATTAGTCATGATGGGCGGATATATTTTGGGATTTGACCTACATTCATAAAATGTGGGAAAGGTTATAGCATAAGTGGGTTAATTTTAAAGTGGATTCTACCTGATCTCCATCCATTCCACCCACCCATGAATCCATCCTCTAATCTTCTAACTGCTTATTTTTGTGAAGGTTGGCCCTTTGGGGTGGGTGGGGGGATACTAATTATTCTAGTATCACATTTTTAAAGTACATAAAACCTTTCAGGTTTTAAAACATTTCAGTAATTCCAGTCATCTGTACTTTGTTACTTCACCTTGTTAATACTTCCCATAATCAGTAAGGAATATTGTTAATAATGTAGCAATAACAATGTCTTGCTTCTGTGTTAAAATGGTTTCTGCTTTCAAACTGTGTGATTATGGTATTTCAGGGAACTGGGTTAAATGTCAGATTTAATCATTTGCCAGTGAGTTATGTAGAACTGGCAAGATTTGCTTCCTGAGCTCTGTTGACAGCATTTATTTTCCTCGCTCAGACATTCTCAGGAAAACCTCTTAGTCCTACTTGGCATTCAGGGTTTTTTTGACACTATGCTGTCCTCCTTGACAGTTCTTTTTATTCTATTATTGATTAGCATGTGTGTTAAATATAAATATACATACTTACACATACATTTCTCCCTATTTCCAGCTTTGGTATTTTCTTTCATAGTCATTTCCAAAGTTTTTATTTTTTTTTTTACTTTCTTGTTCATTACTTACTTCACACTATTTCTGCATAGTATTAAAACTTTGAAGTAAGCTTTTTCACCACAGAAACCGTGTTGCTGTTTTACCTCAGCTAAGAAAAGTATAATAGGGCTTATAGTTTTAGTCTTTATATTATATTTCGTACCTATGAACATCTGATTTGTTTCTCACTGAGATGGCTCTGGAATAATTCTGTATTTATTATTAATGGCATCAAATTTCTCCTCCTATGACCTATATCATGACTGCAATGTTTAGAGATGCAACATGGAAACTGCCTGTCTTGCAGGGTGTGTGGAAACTTTATTAAACATCAAATCGTATAAATGCAGCCACAAACGATTCACCAGCACCGTCTGGTTCGCCCCTATCTCCAGTTCAAAGATTCACCTGTTGTCTGCAAATCTCTAGATCAGCTGAACAGTGTTTGAGTCACTTGGTCAACGGGCAGTGTTCTCCACTAGGCCATGTGACCTGCCACTACCTGACGTTAATCATTTTAGAGATGAGCCAATATTTGCTCAGTGCTTGACTTGTGGACCCTTCGAAATGCAAGGTCCGCCTCCCCCGACAAAAGCCATTTTGTTAAGTGCATTTTGTTTCAGCTTCTTAGCATAGTCTGTCATTTTTAAATGTCACCATTTGAGAGGAAGGATTTATATTTTGACAGTTTACCACTTTTACCACAATTTGTCATTAATTTGTTTAAATATGTGCAGATTCAATGTTCAAGAAATAGGGATACGCTGATTGCTTTTTCCTTGGCCGATCTGATTGGCAATTTATTTTAAGCCTGACTTGCCGACACCGATCCTGGTCAATTCTGATTGTATTAGTTTAATAATAATTAGCAAGTGTCTAAATAAATTGGTTGTTCCAAAAGTTTTCTTTTACATCTCTCACACTGCAGATTTAATGTCATTGTCGCACACTGTAAAGAAGCTGCAAACAACTGGCACATTTCCCATGAAGTGTTTTACTTTACCTGTCACACAACATCGGCGGAGACGACTGCGGATGAATCCTGAGTGGGATTGTGGGCGATATGGCCGAAATGTCATATCATAATACTTTTAATTATAATTGCGATCCACAATATAGATCAGTATTTTTTTTTTTTGGAATGTCATAGAATGTTAATTCTTAATAGTTCTCATCTGTTCTAGGTCAAGTTGGGTGCTGTAACTGACTTTTCCTTATTTTCCCAGAACCAGTGCAACCAGCCAGGCTGGTGAAAGCAGGACCTTCTAGACCAAAGAGAGGTGGAAAGGTATATCTGTGTGTCATTTCTCTCCATCATATGAGCCGTATGGCTGTAATCACTGTGGATAGTATCTGTGTGCTGATTTGTAATTGTTAAACAGTAAATGCACAGTCCCCAGCATTTACATTCCTGTCTCACATTCGGAACAAATGATTTCTTGGAGGCTTTAGTTTTGACTTCTTCCGCATTGAAGGCACCCTCACATCACTGAATATGGAGTCTGACCTGTTTTAAATGCACCTAACTCCTATTGAGTTAACACACAGCACAGCGGCTTCATAGACAAAGCAGCCATGATCAAATCATGATACCTTTAGCTCTGTTCTGTTATTGACAAGCGTAAGACCCTGTTTAAACTCATATCCCATTCGGAGGCTGCATTAGCCTGCAACCTAAAAAGAATGAAGTTTTGACTGGTTTACAAGGTCTTCTTTTTTATTATTATTATTACACGGACTCATCTGTTGTGTGAGAATGCTGCAGAATGTGGAGCCAACATGAGCCATTGCTTTAGCTAAAAGGGAATCCATGACCCTCTATGGATGAAATTTCTGGTCCATGTCATTGGCGATTTATAGTGTTGATATTTTTAGGCGGGGAACTTTGTGGATGCTAACAGCTGGCCGACCCCCGGCGAGATTGCAAGCAATGACATGCAGGTAAGCTTACAGGAGCTGACAAGGGGCCGTGTGACGTGTGCGGAACATACTGGAATTATTGATTGGGGTCATTTAAAATTTTTGCCATTTGTCCTCTATATGCCAGTAGAGAATAAACGCTATGTGCTGTTTTGACTCCAGGAAGGACTCCTCCTTCCATTCATGGTTTTGAGTTTGTGGACTTTGCACTTAAAGCAAACAGCACATGCTAATGTTTTGGTCGTGGAAAATCTTAGCGCTCCCTTAGAGGAAACCCAGCAGCTCCGAGGCCACAACATCTTTTAAAAACAGGACGTATTGTGAACAAAGATGGTGGCAGTGTGCCGGTCATGGGATACGATGTCTTTGTGTTTCTGCTTCCCACAGAGAAACAGGATGCTTTAAACAGAGGCTGTGTAACAACCAATAATGTAACAATTGGCCAATAATGTCATACTAATTTATGGATTCAGAACATTTTTGCTGATATTGTAATAACTTATTGCATTATTGTCCAGTTATTACATCCATCCATCCATACATTTTCTGAAACCTCTTAATCCCAACTGGGGTTGCGGGGGGGACCGGAGCCTATCCCGGGAACAATGGGCGCAGGCGGGAACCAACCCTGGGCAGGCGCCAGCACACCGCAGGGCACACACTCACACACACACACACACACTCACACACACACGCCCTCTCACTCACACACTCACACACGCCCACTCACTCACACACGCCCACTCACTCACACACGCCCACTCACTCACACACGCCCACTCACTCACACACGCCCACTCTCTCACACACGCCCACTCAGACACTCTCTCACACACGCCCACTCAGACACTCTCTCACACACGCCCACTCAGACACTCTCTCACACACGCCCACTCACACGCACACTCACACGCACACTCACACGCACACTCACACGCCCACTCACACACTCGCACGCCCACTCTCACACACACACGCACGCACACTCACGCACTCACACACACACGCCCACTCACACACAC